TTTTTTGATTTCATGGTTGTTCTCATGCTACCTTCCCCATAAACAGGTTTCCCACCGCAGCTCTCAGCCGCCGTCGCTCGGCCGCGTTCTGCAGATGAGTGAACAGATTGTTCCAACAATACAGTTTGCGCTGACTCTTTCACCTTTCGGTTCCATCGCCATTTTTCCTGGGAATTGAGTTAACTGAAAACCAATGTCAGAGTGTGTGTGTTTTTCCATGGAGATGTTGACATATCTTTGTCTTGCACCACAACAACACACGTTTCTTCTTGCACCTCAATGGAATCGGGTCTTTTGGGGGGGGAACATTTTTTTGAGGTTCCTCACGTCAAAGTTGTCTTTGTCCATGGTTCTATGTTGTTTTTGTAAGGCTAACCAGAAGACCATGTTCGGGACATTTCGGAACAGTCTTGGACACCCCATTCACATTAACATCCATGATAACATATTATAACCATTACATTGCTGTTGAAAGTCCACGTTTATCCCACATGTCATGTCCAAACACTCCGGACTGGCCACTGTTGCGCACTCGGGGCGCCCGGGACGTCCCGGACGTCCCGATATCCGTTGGACTGGACATCGATGATATGACCCAGACCATGGAGGGAGTACACAAATGGATGGGTCACTTCAGGATGGGAATAAAAACATGGTAACTTGGGGCGCTCTTCCAGTCCAATGATGTCCCATGGGGCCATATATGCTTTGTTGTGTGGTGCATTCCTTCTCTCACCCTCCTTCTAACCCCAGCCCCGGGGCGCTCCAACGAATGTCCCAGGGCGCTCGCTGCGATGCGGAAGTCGTGGCGGGCGAATCGGTGCTCACGCCCAACGACGTGGGCGTCCAGGCGTCGGCGTCTGCCGCTGGGTTCGGTATAGGTGTTCTGTTCGGAGAGCGAGAGCGAGAGCTTCTTACTTCAAGTACAGGTCTAGGCTGGTGGATGTTTTTTTTTGGGAATCGTGGTGGGAAAAGCCAGCGATCATTTGACTTATTATTAGGTACTTTGCTCTGTTGGTGCGCAGTGTTGCCATTGAACAGCAGCTGGCTTGAAGGACCAAACATGAAGTCCAGCGAAGAGTGGGGCCCAAAAAAGGAACACACTTTATTTGGGGGGTCTATTTTTGGTATTTGTTGGTCTGTCCGGTCTGTCTCCTACACCTGCAACCGTCGGAAAACAATATATCATTACTTTAGACCATGGCCTTTACATGCCTTTACTAGTAACCATTATCATCCACTGTCTCGGGGCGACCTCACGAAGTTGCATAAGAAATCCATTTTTGGCAGGATAGACCCAACCTCTATAGACATGATTAGACATGCATATAGGGTGTGTTGTCTATTTGGACACCCATCGGGGATGGTCATTTCGCCCAAGCCATCCCAGTCCAGACCCAAGCAGCCGTCAGTTCCAGGCTGAGGGAGCGTTATCGGAGCGTGATCGGTGTAGGGTTCCCATCCTATGGTGATTGTTCCAGTTGCGTGAGAAGTCAGGTCAAGAGTTAGGTCAGGTCAGGTCAGATCCTATGTGTTGATACCTCTCAGGCCTCGCCTATATATTGTTATTTTTCCAACATAATACTGTAAAATGAACTGAACATCCCACCATTGCAAGTCATATGCTCTGTGATAGGACATGTTAGATATACTCTCAATTCAAGAAACATGAAGCATGTCCACTAAATTGACCTCCAAGGGACACAATGACACACCTCAGATCACCCCAGCATTCCATAGAGAGGGGTCTCTCCTTCCAGCCTGCCGGTCCCCACCAAGCCACACAGTGCAGCCCTTCAGATCCTGCTGTTTGGCACCTCCGCGAGGCAGACAGCGGGAGCCCGCTACCGGACTGGGCGCGACAGCGCATCGACAGCTTCCTCACAGGTGAGGCACTCGCGCGGTTCGGGGGGGTTTTCACTCCCAGGGTGGTGCGTCTGGAGGAGTGCAAGAGCCCGGTGCCCAACAGATGCAAATGATACAACCCTGCGTTCTTCAGGACTCGTGACCGAACAGGTCTTCTCCTGGTTGCTGAAGGGCTCACTTGCGCCTGTTGTCTTCTTCTGGGGACTGGCGCCAGAACATACATGTACTCCTTCCCAGCTCTGGATGCTGTCCTTCACGCTATAGGAAACCCCCCCGACGCCATGCGACGCCTGGCTTCCGAAGATCCGATCGGAGCCGTTGGACGTTCTCGCTGCATCTCACCGTTCTCCAAGCTCGTTGCTTTCGGAATCCCCCTAGCCCTTTTTGGGGATCCAGTCGTACTGAACCTCAGGTTCGGTACGACTGGACCCTCAAGTTCTTTTTCAGAGTGTCCCCAATCACCGTACCTGAGAAGGTACTTGGATCATCTTGGATCCCTAGGGTACAAAGTTGACTTGCGCCCGCGATGTCGACATGTTGCACAGTTGGAAGATCCTGTAAAGCTACTGGGCAGCAACACTCACCCACCACGAGACTCTGTCTTGGGTGCATTTGGTATGCGTGCTGATCCATGTGATGGACAAGATCTGATATGCGTTACCCTCCGAGGACCCAGTTACCCTACTATGCTACCCTGCCCTTTTGCACAGTTTGTGTTGCTGTCGCTGGCGGATGCTTGCTTCTGCAACTGGTCCACCATGCTCAACAGAACCAGTGCACAAGCAGTCCGACAGTTTTTGTTTGCGTTCAAGTTCTCTATAAGAACTACATGGCAATGTGCAAAGTGAACTGGTCCTTTCACCCATACTGTTTGTGCTAATTCATATCCTTCTACGCTTTGTTTCACCCGTTGGCAGCTGCCGTTTGTGGTCACTGTGCAGGCCTGGCTTCCGGTGTAGACCAGAAGACCCTTCAGGATCGAAGAGAGTTGGGCTGGTTGAAACGGGGTTTCCATGGATGGAAATATGCCAGTCCCATGGGTCGTGTTTGGGGGTTGGGTCAGTGTTCTGAGTCCTACGTTAGTGCATGGGTCGAACTGAATTGTAGGTCTTGCCTGGCATGACACATCATGACACCCAGTTGACCAAGTTTCGGGAGGAACTTCCAGTTGATTAGGAAGGTGAATTTCAACTCAACTTGGCTCGAATGTCCAGCTTCTTTTGGATTTCCCATCCAGTGACCTGTTGCAGGCCTGTTGGTTGCCGATACCACACATGTGGTCCACCTGTTTTCGTCTCCAGGAGTTGCTCACTCTGTTGCCCACCTTGCCGGCGCCGGGCCCCACGGTCTTGCAGCTTGGCGCGCAACTCTCGTGCGGAGCAAACAAGAGTTGGGCCGAATCATCTCCGTTCCTAGGAGACAGCAGAGGTTGAAGGACCTTAGTTCGACCATCCCAGTTCGGTACACCAGTAGTGGCCCATTGACGGTCACTGTCCACCTCTGTAGGTATTCTGCCTATAAGAGCATGGAGTCTTCTTATGGAGTCGGGACAAGTGCCTCGAAAAAAAGAATGTGCCCTATGGCCCTAGGGATCCACCTTGCCGTATGGTATGGTGATGTGTTTGAAGGATATAGCTATGCAGATGTATGCAGACCGCAGTGGATTCGTGGATTCGTTGGGTGAGAAGTTAGCTGGTGCTGGTATCCATGCTCCTGATGAACCACTGAAAACGGTATCAGATTCATCAGCTTCCATCAGCTTCGGGTTGACAGAACCAAGGCCCGATGAACCGATGATCGATCCCACTTCGGTCCATTGGGTCACTCATACCTCTTCGGAGAGTCTTGCAGGTGCGTACGCACGAGACCGGCCGAACATCAGCAAGACATCCGAGTTTCACGGAGGGTCCTGGAGCGTTGAGCAGAGCTTTGTTCTTCACGCAGCCTTTTTGTATGATTTTTTGGTTTTTATGGTTGGTTAAAATGCATTTTGGTTGGTTACAACTCTGGTTGGTTACAACCGATGCCGGTCACAGAACGGAACCTGCACTAGTGGGTGTTGCCTGTGTTCGCTGGTCGCAAAAACAGCCCGGCTCCGAGCCCCATCGGATCGACCAGGTTAGACGAGATCCGCTTGCGGCAGCCGGAGCTCTTCGAGCGGCTCTATGAGAGCATGAGGCCGGAGCATGGGCACTGTGGGCAGCAGGGCAACAGAAAGGGGGGCTGATGCGGAAGGGTTGAAGTGCGGGGGATCAGGTTGGGTGGTACATGTGACGTTTTGGATGGGCTCAGTGGAAGATGGTGGAACTATCAAGTCCCACATTGTTGACATAGAGTGGCCGAGGTCAGGTGTGGTAGATTCAGACATCGGGCAGCACTCATTTCAGACAACCATGCTGTTGGATTCATCATGCTTGTCCATTGACCTGCAGGGACTCATGGTGCTTTGTTTTGAGCCGTAATTTCTGGGTTGTGTGAAGTACAGGGACCAGCATAGGGGGTGTTCATTTGATTTCTAATTTTGTTCAGGGACCAGCAAGGTACAGGCTCCGAAAACACTAGGTCCTTCAGGTTCAGGGCCTGGCTGATACAACCTATAATTGGTTGTTTGGGAGCTTTTGGTCTTGGTTGGGAGCTGGCCTAGCTGGTATGTGAGGTCTTTCTATTTGCCTCTCCTAGAGTTTAAACTTCTTTGCTACTCTGCGACTCTAACTCCTTTCACCCTTTTATGTATACCGCTCTTTTGACGTTCAGTGCACCCTGCGAATTCGCAGCGCTCCAGGCGAACGAAGCAGCGGCAGAGCGCAGCATGAGTTTCACGATGGGTGATGTCTCGCTTCCCATAGCAAAGTCCATGGGGTGAAGAGGAAACCACTGTTGAACATTTGTGAGCAGCCATTGACTAGCTGATTGCAAGACTTATCGGCTACTTTGAAGTGTTTGAACTGGAGAACCAGAAGACAGTGTTGCTGGTATGTTCCCTACCAGACGACAAAAGTGCATCACCATGTTCCACAAATTGATGAAAATTAATGTTTAGCCACCCGTTGACTTGTTCCAAGGCGCAGTTCCAAGATGAATACCTCGTATTTGCCCAGCTTGCGGATCTACACCATCATATATACAAATTGGTTCTTGTATCTCATGGTCAAGCATGCCATCTCAGCGGTCCCGATCTCTTACAATGGCTCTTCAGCGGCTGAAGCGCGGCCTTTCGGAAAAGAATGCAGTGAACATCAAGCAGCCCGAACGAAGAATCCGGATCCGGTTCGCAACACACAGGGATCCATTGCCACCTTCGAAGGTACGACTGGGCAGTCGTTCCGAGCCTCCTGGCGTCTCCAATCACCGTCTCAGAAGGTGGCAGTGGATCCATACCCTCTGGATCCCAGGCAAAGCACTACGTAAGGAACCAGGGTTTGGTTCGGTCTATGGTTTTAGTCGAACTGGAACCACTAGTGGGCTCCCAGCGACATCGTGACAACTGGATAGGGACACCACGCGACGTCGACCTGGATCACGGGGCGGTTCCACGGGGCGGTTCCGTCGGGTTCCACGTACCTGAGAACATGAAAATCAGCTACCATCCATGTACTTGTGTTATATTGTATATAGTAATCGGTTCATGTCCTATTTTCTAAGGTACTTTGATTTGGAGGGTCCTGGAAACGTATGTCTCCCTGTAAGGAGGAACGCCCCCAGACACACACACACACCGTTTGGTGTCAACACTCTATAGGCCACCAGCATCCATTGTTGCGCACCTTTGGGGTAACACCTGTGACTTGAGATGGTGACTCCGAGCAGGTTTCTGGAGTGAACCCAGAATTGAAGCCTGACAGGTTTGAGAGATCACTGGTAGACCTTGAGAAGACACAGGTTTCTCAAGCTCCCCCCAGAAAATAGCTCCTAGACATTTTCTGGGAGCGAAATCATCCATCGCAAACATCCCAAGCTTTGAGACCATGAAGACACTTTCGAGATGTCCTGCCTAATTCGTTCTTGTTGATGGTTGGAGACATCTTGGTTTTGGGATGCTCCGGTTGTCCTAAACGACGACGCAAGTTGGCGGTCATACGTACCTTGTCTTTTAATCATGGTCCTTTTAATCCTTTTTCCCCAACAGAATATGAACATGAATGGCCTGAGGTGACAAGGGGAAGGGGGGAGTCAACCTCAGAGGGTGTTCGTTCTGGGCTTTCTCAGTCACCGCGCCGCTCAGTCGACGCACCCGCCAGGAGCTGGTCTCGCACCGCGAGAAGCTCCGACGCCTGGAGAATACGGAGGAGGCGCGAGTGAGTCGCGCCAAGCGCGACAAGGGATCAGTAAAGTTCATCCATTTGGTGTATGAGGGGTGCTAGCAATTCCTGTCAATTCTATCATTGTGTGGTTTTGGAAGGTCCTGGCAGAACACAAGTGGCACGAGTACATCAATTTAGGGCTGACCAACAGCTGACCAAGAAGATTCCGAAGAACATCAGGTGGCTGCAGAACTGTTTCATTTGGGCCGAAGGCCAAACGCTTGGGGCCGCCATTGCCAGAGAAGGAACAACTGGAAAAAGACATCCTTACAGGAACAATAAGCATGTCTCAAACATACATTCCCACACTCTACAAGCAATGGTTCTTGCAGGGTGTGCACGTTTTTGAGAACACACACCATATAAGGCGCCAAACGTATGGGTAAGAATGCATACCTGACGGGCTACTGGTACCGAGGTTGTTGCCACAAGAGTTACAGTGGAAAAGGCATGAGAATGTGCGTTGCCTCCTTTGCAGGGAGTGCCCATACCCACACAATAGTATACGGACAAAATCACATCAAGCACTCTGATCGACGGCAAGATACCGGTAGCTACAGCTATGCATTAGGTAGCCATGGTGACCTTAAAGTAACACATTACTATAGACATCTATAGACTATGTATGTTAGTGTTGCAAGTGCGAGGTCCTCTCTTCAAGCTTGGTATCATGCAATTTGTCACTTCCATTATAATGACTTTGAGACACAATCGCTTAATCAAGGCTGGAGCTTCTATGTTTGCCATGTCCCAGACACTCCATGAGCGGGGCTGCTATATTCACCGATCAGGCCAGGGTTTTTTCAACGGGCTCAATGTAGGTTTGTATGCCAGTTTTATGGGGTGTTTGGGTGTAGACGGTATGTGGGACATAACAGACCCATTACAGGCATGACCTCAGTTTTGGACCACCAACCACACCAAATCATGGCCCCTGACCCACAGATTGAGCGGCTGGTCTATGAGGAGGAGCCTGTGATGCCGGGCACACAGATCGAGCACAGACAGTGAAGCTGAAGAATCCCTAGGGCTCCAACCACATCCTGAGAAGGTCAAAACCCACCCCAACGACCTTCGAAATGGATGTGGCTGGAGCACTAGGAAATGACCCCCTTTTGCTGAGAATGTTGGGATCCAGGGTTCCATCTTGAGCTGAGAGATGGAGAGATGGAGAGAGTGCTTGCACAAAACCAATGAGGCCAAGCTGTGTAGGATGCAACCGGACAGGCTGGCCAGCCAAGTTCGGACCTGCTGTTGCCTAGGCCCTAGGCTCGATCTCCCCACTATCGCTGATACCATGACCCACCTTCAACGGAGCGTTTTCAGGTTTTACGAGCCTTTGAATTACTTGGATGACGACACCAAAATGCATGTGGCGGAGGCCGGCCGAGTTCGACGCTCCTTGCGCAAAAAGAAGTAACCTGACAGGCAAAACCGCGACCCTGAAGCAACTTCACCAAAATGCGAACCAACTGACCCCCAAATCATCCTGCGAGTCACCAAAAGTGACGTACAACACCTTGTTGGGGACGAAGAAAGAGGCGGTGCCCATGAGCTGTTTCGAAGAACCAGTGCCGAGGCAATTTCATCTCGAGTCAAGTGTTTTTTGTTTGTTTGTGAAAGCCCTCGAGTCAAGTGTTTTTTGTTTGTTTGTGAAAGCCAAACAAGGCATTAATTCATATATATTATACATATATATATATATTAGGTTGCGAACATGTTGAATTTCCTAACTATTTATTTCATAGGACATGTGTTTCTACATCATAGCTTTTCTTGCATCATGGTTGTGTTGACGATTTCCAATGTATGGATGCATTTGATGTTAAGTCTTTTCATGAGTTGGTTGACACTGGATGGTTGGATGCCCTTGGCCTTTGCAGGAATGGGATGGACGAGACAGAGTATGGCTGTCAGAAGTCTATATCCAATCAAAACTGTTTGATTTGGTGGTTCTCTTCAGTCATAACATGTCATAAAGCTGGTGGTTTCGAATCACACGCAGATCGAGCGTCTCTTTAGTTGCACTATATATGACGACTTTTTTCATCATTTGATGGATGGTTTTCGATGAAAAAAGGAGCTTGCAGCAGTTCCAGCAACAAAACTTCAACAGTTCCAGCACAGGGAACTGAAACAAGGGACCTGGTGCACGCGGTCTCCACCGCGAGTCGCGAACGCACATGTTCTTCGTGCTTTTACTTATGTGAACTGTGTCGAACTCGCCGCCGGCAACATTTAATCTGCTATTGTTTAAAATAGAAATTAGGTACTTGGACCCACCAAGGTGTGTCCAATGGACTACCCCACAGTACCTATAGGCTTTCATTGGGCACCCCTTAGCGCGTACCATGTGCCTGTTTGCCATGTTTGCTGGATGCAGCGACGGATCGCTGGGAGACCGTGGAAACCAATCCTTTTGCTGGTGTTGAGGTATCTCTTCTTGTAGCTGGGAGTGTTTGAAATCGTGGGAGCCACGACCAAAGGAGGTCAAACAATTGATTCAGTTTAATTACCGACAATACGGTATATAAAAGGTGCCGGTGCCTGTTCTATGGACAAGTGAAGAACAAATATGGCAACATAGTTGGCAACATATATCCTACAATATCCTGCACATGAACATGTACCGTCAGCCAAAAGCAGTGAAATCAATGTCTCATGTATACGACATTAATACACTGTATTCACTTTGGTCCTTAAAGAACAAACACACCAACGGTTTGCGTTTCCTTCACGGCGAAAATGGCCGGCTTTCGAACGCACCGTGCAGGTCATCGAAGAGAAACTGAAGCTCCTGCTGGGCCGACTCCAAACGTTGGAAATGCTCAGAGTCCGCCGAACGTGTCACGGTGTGGCCGACAGGAAAGGTGCGGGTGTGAAGAGTTTCATGGGGAGACCACACTGGCACCAGTGTTGTTATTTGTCTAGATATGTTCCTTTTTGCAGGGATTCAATACTCCCTATCTTAAGACACCTATGCTACTGGGCATGCCGGCCGGGCCGAGCAGGTTGAAGAGTCGCAACCAATGGCTTCCGGGGTCGATTCAAAAGGAAGCTCCACTGGATCCCATCCACACTTCCTAGTTGAACCGAACCTGCCAAATTCAGAGAGCAGGTCCATGGGATGACATGCATTTGGCTGCATGGTCGATCTATCTCGAGGGTGGCCATACGTTTGATCATGCCTGCTGACGTCAAGAATATACAAACACGAAGCGACAACCATACACGCCTAGGAACATCGGAAAAGGAAGGAAGGGAAGTCAGAAACACCATACAGCAGCAGTTGGCTGGGTGAGTGAGTGATGAAACCAGGAACATCAAAACCAAGCTAGCTGCTGCTTAGGCGCGAGCCATTCCGAGCCGCGACGTTTTGGTTCCTCTTTCCACAGGCAGCCGAGTGGCCGACAGCACTTTTGCTAAACCGGGTTTCCCCCACGATTCATGGGCTGAATCAGGAACCACCCCGCTGTTTTACTAAGGACTTTACACGACAATATAAGACCAACCATTTTACTACGATCAACCATTTATTAGGGTCATCCTGATGCACTTTTTTACCCCTAGGGCTCCTGGCCCAGAACCCTCACAAGTGGGTTAGACCCCCCTGGCACCCACCCCGGTAGCCCCACCGAAACGGAGGTAGG